GAGTATTCTATTTTCTTTCCACCTGGGGCTTACATGGGACAGGAATACTGAACTAAATGTAAATGCTCTGCATATTCAAATATCCCCTTCTGTGGCCTGAGTTAGGGTTTGGTCAGCAGGAAGAGAAGATTGGAGGGATGGAAAGTAATGTAGCAAATCTTCTCGGTCACAGATATGCTCACAGACCTGCTGTTTCTTCAGATCAGCTTTAGCTTTTGTAAGAGGGAGTCTCGCTCTGTTGCCCAGGCTGGAGTGCAGTGGTACTATCTCCACTTACCACAACCTCCGCCACCACGCCCAGCCAGCTTTTGCATTAACAGAGGCTATATTTAATAATAGAGCTTGCTCTCCATCTGTTGGCATCCTATATCTTATTTCTCAATTGGTTCCAATTTCTCAATTGGTTCCAATCTTAGGGAAAAAAGAGGAAGTTGTTGATTGACGTTTTATAACCTGCTGGGTGTGGTGTCTCACACCTGTATTCCCAGCACTTTGGGAAGCTGAGGTGGTAGGATTGCTTGAGCCCACAAGTTTGAGACCAGCCTGGGCAATACAGCAAGACTTCATCTCTACTTAAAAAACAACAACAACAAACAAAACAAAACAAAACACTACCCTGTTTCAGCTTCTGGTCTCTTTAGAGCTTTGCCTTCTCGTAAATGAAGACATTTGTGTTGATTTTTAGGCCTATTCCTGACCCATTTTCTGCTTCAAATCTAGACCTTTTACCGAGTCCTGTCCATGCCTTTTTAATTTAGACTTTGTCATTGTGCCTAGGTCATTAGAATCGAGTTTCTACCTTACATGCGAGTGTCTCTCTCCAGGAGCCCTCATCCGAGTATCTTGGGTTCCATGCTGGTAACCTACCTTGGTCTCCAGCTCCTTTTTCAGACTGGGCCCTTGCAGGTTCCCCTCTGTATTAATTTACCAGAGCTGTTGCAACCAGTTACTACAAACTTGGTGGTTTAAAGAACAGAAATTAATTTTCTCACAGTTTTAGATGCCACAAGGCTAAACCAAGGTGTCAGAAGGGCTGATTCCTTCTGGAGGCCCCCAGGGAGAGTCCATTCCCTCCCTCTCTCCTACCTTCTGGTGTCTGCTGGCAACACTTTTGGCACTCCTTAGCTTGTGGCTACAACATTCCATGCTCTGTCTCTGTCTTCACATGATCTTCCCCACCTGTGTGTCTCAATATCTCAAATCTCCCTTTTCTTATAAGGACACCAGTCACTGGGTTTAGAGCCCACTCAGCTATAATCACACTGCATTAAGGATCTCAAGATGAGATCCTCAGTTACATCTGCAAAGGTTTTATTTCTCAATAAGATCACATTCACAGGTCAGGCACCAGGGATTAGGACTTGGACACACCTTTTTGGGGACACAATTCAACCCACTATATCCTCTTGACTTCTTATTCCAACTAGAGAACCTGTGACTCCTTGATAAGCTTTCTGAGGTTGCTTGCCTGGAATTTTATTTTATTATTATTATCATTTTTTTGAGACAAAGTTTCACTCTTGTTACCCAGGCTGGAGTGCAATGGTGCGATCTCAGCTCACTGCAACCTCCACTTCCCAGGTTCAAGCGACTCTCCTGTCTCAGCCGCCTGAGTAACTGGAATTACAGGCATGTGCCACCATGCCCAGCTAATTTTGTATTTTTAGTAAAGATGGGATTTCTCCATGTTGGTCATGCTGGTCTCAAACTCCTGACCTCAGGTTGTCTGCCTGCCTTGGTTTCCCAAAGTGCTGGATTATAGGCGTGAGCCACCACACCAGCCTGAAATTTTTATTTAATTTAATTTTTGGAGACAGAGTCTCACTCTGTCTCCCAAGCTAGAGTGCAGTGGCGCAATCTCAGTTCACTGCAACCTCCACCTCCTGGATTCAAGCAATTCTCCCATCTCAGACGAGTAGCTGGGGTTATAGGGGTGTGCCACCATGCCTGGCTAATTATTGTATTTTTAGTAGAGATGGAATTTTGCCATGTTGGCCAGGCTGGTCTCAAACTCCTGATGTCAGGTGATTCACCTGCCTCAGCCTTCCAAAGTGCTGGGATTACAGGTGTGAGCCACCGTGCCCTTCTTCCCTGGACTTCTGAATGCCAGGTGCCTTGGATGCTCCGTTTTGTGACCATTTGCAACAACTAAATCTTAGGGCCCCTTTTGCTGACTGTGTAGACACCATCTAGAGATTGTGGCCCAATCTGGATGCAAAGTTTGACTGCCACACTTGTCAACACAGCACAGGCTCAGTAACCCCAACCCCCTATGCCCCTCTCAGTATTTATCACACTTACTGAGTGGGCCTGGAACTAGGGTCTGCATATCTCCATTGGCCCTATCCGATTATAAGTGATCATGACCTGTTGTATTCTGAAGTGCTACGCAAGAAGTGCTGGTCGTCTTGGATTGATTTTCATGACTGGGCGCGGTAGCTCATGCCTGTAATCCCAGCACTTTGGGAGTCCAAGGCAGGAGGATCATTTGGGTTTAGGAATTCGAGACTAGCCTGGGCAATGTATGAAGACCCCATCTCTACTAAAAATAAAAATAAAAAAATTGGCCGGGTGTGGTAGCTCACGCCTGTAATCCCAGCAGTTTGGGAGGCCAAGGCAGGCAGATCACTTGAGCCTAGGAGTTCGAGACCAGCCTGCCCAACATGGTGAAATCCTGACTTTACAAAAAACACAAACATTAGCCCAGCATGATAGCTTATGCCTGTGGTTCTGGTACTCAGGTGGGAGGACTGGCTGACAGGTGGGAGGATTATTTGAGCCCAGGAAGTGGAGGCTCCAGTGAGCCGTGATTGTGCCACTGCACTCCAGCCTAGGTGGCAGAGTGAGACCTTGTCTCAAAACATAAAATAAAATAAATAATTAGCCAGGCATGGTGGTATGTGCCTGTAGTTGCAGCTTCTAGGGTGGCTGAGGTGAGAAGATCACTTGAGTCTCTTCTCACTGCAGAAGATGGAGTCTGCAGTGAGCTATAATTGCACCACTGCCCTTTTCCCGCAATCCCTCACACTCTTCCTTTCCAACTTGGGCCCCTCAGAATGCCTCCTGCAAAGAAGGGTGGCGAGAAGAATTACAGTTCTACCATCAACAAGCTGGTGACCTGAGCATATACCAACATTCACAAGGGCATTCATGGAGTTGGCTTCAAAAAGTGTGCCCCTCGGGTATTCAACAAGATATGGGAATTTGCCATGAAAGGCATGGGAACTACAGATGTGTGCATTGATACCAGGTCTAACAATGCTGTCTGGACAAAAGGATTAAGAAATGTCCCATCCCGCATACCTGTGCAGTTGTCCAGAAAACGTAATGAGGATGAAGATTCACCAAAGAAGCTCTATACTTTGGTTACCTATGTACCTGTTACTACTTAAAAAAAAAATCACACCACTGCACTCCAGCCTGAGCAACAGAGAGATACCCTGTCTCAAAAAAAAAAAAAAAAAATCAAAATAATGAGATATAGTATGTTAAAATGTTGAGCTCAGTGCTTGGCACACAGAAACAATGACTTACAGATATTGAATACTTTCTGTGTGCTAGGGACTGTGCTAAGCACTCTATATGTACAATTTCCTTCAAACTTTATAATAACTTAATTTTGATCTCCACTGGACAAATAAGGACATTAAAGCTAGAGTAACATTAAGCAGATTGTCTTATAGGTAGTAAGTAAAAAGTAGTTAACAACAACAAGGGGTAAAAGGGGGTTCTAAGGTGGCTCACACCTATAATCCCAGCATTTTGGAAGACTGAGGCAGGTGTATCACTTGAGCCCAGGGGTTTGAGACCAGCCTGGGCAACAGGGTAAAACCCTGTCTCTATCAAAAATACAAAAAACTAGCTGGGTGTGGTGGCATACGCCTGTGGGTGATCCCAGCTATTCAGGAGGCTGAGGTGGGAGGTTCACTTGAGCCAGGGAGGTGCAGGCTGCAGTGAGCTGAGATTGTGCCACTGCTCTCCAGCCTGGGTGAATGACCTGCCCACTCCCAAAAAAAGAGGGCTGTAAGGGATTGAGAAGCAGCAATATAGCGAGGGAGAGCGTACCCTCCAAAATATTTAAATCGTGTTAAGGAGGGGAGAGGTTATTTTCCTCTTCCGATGCCACGACAATCCTTGTCAACACCATTCTTCACCACCACACTCCAGTCACATTTTACCAGTAGTCAGAGTCACCATTTACCACCAGATTAGCAGCGCTATCAGTCTCTCATTCCTCCACGTTTGCAGACTATGGCAGGGCTCAGCTATCCCAAGCATGCCATGTCGTCCATTTGAGGCTTTACCAGTGAGTCCTTTGGAGACAGCAGATCATTGCTCAGATTTTCATTCCCTTAACTAATTTATATCTACGTCACTATTTTAGAGGACAATCTGCATACAATGATACATAGCTAATTCATGAGTATCTTTTTTACTTGGTTTCATTGTAGCTTAATGCAGAATATACTTACACAGAGTCATCCTGAAGTGATAATTAGAAAAGTATACGGATATTTTCAAATCAGTGTTTGATTTTATAATGTGTGACTATTCTCTTAAAAGCTTAGAAAAGAGTTTAGGAATTCTATTTTTATGAGATTAGTATATTTTAATTGCATGCATTGTTTGCTAGGGATTCAACTTTTTTCACCTTAAAAATATTTGTTTTGTTTTTTCTTTTTTTTTTAGTTTTTTTTTCTTTCACCTTAAAAATATTAATGTGGGGTTTACAAGCTCATAAATCAGTTACTGTTCAAAAAAATTTTTTTTAAATAACATGTTTCTTGGCTAGTGCAAACAGTAAATCAGGTTTTTACTGTGTTTGTTTGATTAGCTTGGAGTCTAACAAACATTCTGTAAGAAGCTACCACCAAAGATAGGAGAAACAGGTACCCAGGCACTTCCTTCCTTACAAGTGACATTTTGAGCATTTCAGTACTGTTTACATGAGGAAAAGCAATATTGTATAAAAGTAATTAACATATTCACAATCAGGTTACATACCCTCGTTTCTCTTCAGGTCGTATGCATCTTTTGTCTTTTACTACAGATTTCTGTGGAAAGAAACAATTCTGAGTGTTTGACCAAGTTCTCTGTTTTTGTTTTTCCTTGTTTGTTTTCTTCTGAGATGGAGTCTTGCTCTGTTGCCCAGGCTGGAGTGCAGTGGTGTGATCTTGGCTCACTACAGCCTCTGCCTCCTGGGTTCAAGGCATTCTCCTGCCTCAGTCTCCTGAGTAACTGGCACTACAGGTGCTTGTCACCATGCCTGGCTAATTTTTGTATTTTTACTAGAGACAGGGTTTCACCATGTTGGCCAGTCTGGTCTTGAACTCCTGACCTCAGGTGATCTGCCCTGTCTACCCTTGGCCTCCCAAAGTGCTGGGATTACAGGCGTGAGTCATCATGCCCGGCCCGGGGCTTATTTTTTTAAAAATGTTACAGATATTAAAGTTTGTATATTTTCCTAGTAGCATCAACAACCTGTTGTTATCTAGATAACCATCCTTTCATCACTCAAATATAAATTGAGGGGCTAGGTGGGACCAGAGTTCTGCTAGACACCAGAAAAGCAAAGAACCACAGAGTCCAATTCTTGCTCTGTGAAGTTTACAGCACAGCTAAGAAGACACAGAAAAGTCATTACAAGTGTTTTGAAGAAGTACAGGGTACAATAGGAGCAAAAGGTCAATTATCCAGACTGTGGCTCACTCTGATTTCCTGATTCTTCTTATATTTTATTATTTTATTTTATTAATTAAAAATTATTTATTTATTTTTTAGTAGAGATGGAGTTTCACTAAAAACTAGGCCAGGCTGGTCTCAAACGCCTGACCTCAACTGATTATCTCACCTTGGTGTCCCAAAGTGCTGGGATTACAAGCTTGAGCCACTGCACCCGGCTTCATTTTATTTTTTATAGAGACAAGGTCTCACTATGTTGCCCAGGCTGGTCTTGAATTCCTGGACTCAAGTGCTCCTTCTACCATGGTCTCTCAAAGTGCTGGGATTACAGGCCTGAGCCACCACTGCCAGCCTCTTCTATTTCAAAACTGAAGAAAGAGAAAGCGAAGACACAAGAGACATTAAATGATGGTATGCATGTACATGTATCTTTCAAGAAGAACATTATTGGCCGGGTTCGGTGGCTCAAGCCTGTAATCCCAGCACTTTGGGAGGCCGAGGCGGGTGGATCATGAGGTCAAGAGATCGAGACCATCTTGGTCAACATGGTGAAACCCCGTCTCTACTAAAACTACAAAA